CCGCGGCGCGAATCGAAAGGTTCGGATTACGCTTGAAATAATTCAACACCTTCCGGGCCTTCACAGGGTCAGCTGTCTTCGATTTTCTTCCACTTCCAGCCCACCACTCGATCGTCTGGGACTCCTTAAACGATTTTACCACCCGAGACACAGTTGTATGGGTGATTCCCAGTTGTCTTCCGATCCATCTCATGGTCGCAGTCGGATTTTCCATGACTGCGCGCAAAATTCTTCGGCGATTTTCTTCTTGTTTCGATGACATCTCAATAACCACTGAACCGATTGTTATGAAATTTAACACATGTAAAAAATTCACTCCAAACTAGTTATACCCAGATTTTCATCAATTTTCACCCACGGATAAAAAAGTTACACACGGATAAAAATTGTGCATTTTTTTTCGAGTACAAGCTTTAAGCCCCTTAACTCAGTCGTCGTCATAGCAATGATAACTAGCATCGAACCGATGCGACTCTATCTACAATGCAGGAAAAAAATGTGTTTTGCTGTGGTTACTGCACGCACGCTGAGTAGATAGGAAGAAGATTAATGACGAATCTGAAGATATCCTGCAAAAAGATGATGAGCGATGCAAGTAGATGCGAGAAATGAATGAAGATTTTTCGAAGATCGATTCGCTAGTGTGAGATTTGTTGAGCATCTAGAATTGAGATTTAGGTGTGTCACCCCCCTCGCATCGAACCGCTTTTGGTTCTTGGGTTACACTTGCTGGTTGCAATTCTGCTGCTTGACATTTTCGAAGGACCACCAAAAAACATGAAATTGCACTATTTTCTAGGGATGCCTAGAAGTCCAATTTACGATTAACGATTAATCGTAAATATTTTTCCTGCTATTCGATTAAATATTTATCGAATTTTAAATTATTCGAGCGCGCAACCGACATCCCTTCTTATTTCTACTCGTTTGATTTAACTCAGTGGAGAAAATAAATAAAAGTACTAATTTATCTGAACAGGCATAGAGAAGAACCATGACGTGAAACGGGATCATAAATTCGCCAAAAAAAAAGTGTTAAGCGTCTTTCTGCTAAAGGCCAAGATTTACCAACTTGCTGAGAGAAGGAGTTTAACGAAAAAAAAAAAAAACTAGAAAGGGGAGGAGCTTTAGCTGGGTGGACACTGATATTATGCGGCCTTCCAACCTGTCTCAGACACCAGTTCAACCCCTGTCCAGCAGCAGACGGGCCGAAACTCTTGCGAGTGCGCAGTCATTAAACCGAAGAATATGGGATCGTCCAGTCCGATTTGCTGATCCAGCTGCCTACACGTCATCATCTTCCAAAGGCTTTAAGCCTGTACTACCATCGGCCCTTTTCAGGGCCACCAAGATTTTCCAAAAGAGTTAAATTTCTGAACATGTTCCAACTAAAATTTATACCAAAAGGTTCTTTTTAGGGCAATAATAGTCATACTAAAGAGCAACGTTGGGAAAATATCAAAAAATCAACTCTTACCAATGCCCAAGATCACGCTTGATTTTCGTAGACAAAAATCAACAAGCAAACAACTGCGGTTGAGGTTGGAGGCGAACCAGCCCCAGGCTGAAAGCCTCACTAATAAAGATAAATTAATTAATTAATTAATTAACTGCAGTTGATTTTGCAATCTGTGATATCGCAGCTCGGAATATCAAGCTAACAAAACTCACCAACTGCAAATCTCAACAAACTGTGGTGAGATTGAGTTTCATGATTTTTGCTTTAGACCCGAATGCAACCGAAACTTCCAAAACGGCTAGCAGCAGTCACTTCGTGTCTGCTATCTGTGAAGAGTAAATAGAGATAGCAAACTATACTTTCCCTTTCTAAGAAAACGATGTGCAACGGAATCATTTTTGTGTCGAGTCAACTTTCAGCTTGATTTTTGCACGTTGTGAATAGTCTCGCAATATCAAAGGAGCTTGTAAAATCAATATCAAGCATGATATTTTGGTCCAATATCAAGCGTGATATTACGAGCGGAAAAATATTAATTGATCTCTGATTTTGCCAACACTGCTAAAGAGTATAAAAAGAGAGAACCCCGCAGTTAACAAATAACATTTATTATATAATAGCACGTAGTCCTACGTCACCATTGCGTACAACCCCATAGGGCTGTAGTTTTTTGCCCGATTAAAAAATAAACTACACAAATTTATCGTACGAGAAGTTCCACGCCAAATGAAGAATCGATCAGGCTCGACCTTCTCCGATTTGCATGACATTTTTTTTTTGTATTAATTTATTTGTACAGGCTCAATTGAATAAACTTTACAGAGCCAAGTTATCATTTGCGTTATACATATTTGATGTCTTAAATCTAGAGTTAAAGGAATTGAACCGATTACTCGCGATCATGACATTTTGTATAATTGTTTGTTAAGTGCAATCATTCACATATGAGCTTATTTTTTTTCAAAATGGCGTTTTCCACATAGCACGCAAATGTCACATCAATTCAAAATGACGTTTAAAACAAAGTGAAGGGAAATTAAATTCTTTCTTAGAAAACTGTACACGTTAATTTTTTTTCTAGTAATTTTGTGTGGACAATATTGTGTTAAAAGCTTAAATAATTTTTAAGAATAACCAAGGTAAAATTTATGCAATATATTTGTAATTTTTTGCACAGAAAACGATTTCAAAGATCTTGGAAGAGTGAAGAGGAGGATCCGAGAGTAGGCTGTGCGTGCGTACGGACGTGACGTTTGTTTTCTTAGCCGCGTTTCAAAATTTGGAAAAATTTACAATTTATAATTGTCCCGTAATTGGAGCACATTTTCCGCGATTCAAATTGCCAGTGATTACCTGTTAATATGAAATAGTGCTGTTCCGTGTTGTATTTATACATCGGTGTCAACTACCATAGATATGGACCTGGATTCGATTGCCCGCACAGATAAAAATTCTGAATTTTAATTGTGATGTAAACATTCATTCACGTAGACTTGTATTTCATTTCACGCAACCGAGCAACTTGCAAACAATGTTGTTTACAAAGATAGGCTTTTGTATACAATATTTGCTACATTGCATGAAATGTGTCAGAACTTTACATGATATATAATGTAAGCGTATGTGATATGTGACGCTCCATTTATGTGCATCATATTGAACAGAAATTTACACTACTTTTGACGTTGGATAACGTCTTTCGGCAACATACGGGGGTACAAAATTGAAAACAGTCATTTTGGATGCGTTACGAAAAATTAAAAGATTTTGAACGATAATAACTCAACCGTCTCTCTATAGATTTACAAGATGAATGAAATCAATCGATTGGAAATATTTCTAACAATTTGCTGAATGTTTCAAAACTATTGATTTCATTCTGTAAACTATTGAAAAATGGTTAAAAGTAAACCATTGTCTAAAGATGGTGAAAATCGAGTGATTTTTTTTATATTCTTATACTTTCTCCAACCGAGACATCAGATGCGAGTATCTTACACCTCTGATATTTTCTGTTCTACTATATAAGCGTCCAACAAGGTCGCCCGTTCCATCATTGTCAACAACATCAGCCCAACAAAACGGCCCTTTTCAGGGCCACCAAACTTTCGCAAAAGAGTTATTAAGGAATATTCCTAAAATATAATATACACAATTAAGTACAACACATAACAGACGTTATCCAACGCCAACCCTGCGGTCGTATCTAGTACACAACCCTTCCAACTTTTTCAAACTGTGCGGTTCTGGGTTGCCACCAACGCCGAGATTCAAGATGTTATTTGCACGAGCAGCTCAATTCCTGGCACAAATGGCCAATCATCAGTTACGGAAGATCATCCATTTGGAACTCAGCGAGTGCACGTACATCGCCGGTGTGCAGGACCTATAAGCTCTACGTCTCTGCGCTATCTCCCAGCTCGTTCCTGGAGCCGCTGTCAAGCCACCAAACCCTCAACGTCCCATCGTCCGGTGCGGTCATGTTGCTGAGGAGGGAATTCATTCGAGTGTTTCAAGTGCCAGAAGCTTATAGCTGACAAACGTCAAATATAAATCGGGAATTCGGTTAACATTGGAGGCATTTGGTGAGATCCTTCCATAACACTTTATTTTACATACCATTCATTACATTACATATTTCTGTTACATTCACTCTTAACCTAACTCGGAGCATTTGGTACGGTATGTCCACGCATCCTTCCATCACTTAAGATTCACGAAATGCATCGCTGTTTAAATATACCGTGTCAGCACCATATTCGACACGTTCCTAATGATGACGCACTCGTATATTTTTGATCGCATCTCGATTTTGACAAGAATTTGTTAAAACCTTGTTACACCATCGTCCCTAGAGCACTGTAACTTATATTTGCAGAAGTAACATTTCAAAAATAGTTATTGAAAATAGTCGAACATTGTTGATTGCGTCGATTTAGGGACTGCTTCGAATATGGTGCCTCCGCAGTTTATTTAAACTCGAATCCTTTCACAGAATCATCTTTGCGGCAAATGCAACGCAATAGGCCTGGCCGTTTTGATGTTTGTGTCATATCTCAGATATGCTGCAAACATCAATATTGACAAGAAAAATGATTAGGTCTTATCTAACCTAATCATTTTCCAGGATGCTTTCTCGTACTGGCTGCGTTTGTATGGTGGTAGATTAGAAAACGATTTCAAAGATCTTGTTAACTGTGCAAAAAATTCAAAAAAAGTAAACTAACAAAAAGTAAAAAAAAATAAAACCACAAGCTGTTGTTCTTCGATTTTTATAAATTTTTAAGTGTCCAAGGTTTTAATATTTTAAAAGTTGTCTTTTATCATAAGGTTTGAAAAAATACACCAAAGATATTTTTGTTATTTAAATTTGTATCTCTTTTCTACAATTACAATTGGATAAGAAAATGACCGCCACGGCACACACGTCTAATGGCAATAAGGGAGATGAGACGTGACCTACATTTGACACGTATTGGCTAGCAACGATTCACACTGACTAACTTTCCTACTTCTTCGTTCTCTGTGTCTATCGTTTCAGATTGTCCGACCAATCAGCGCCTTTCTCATCGTGGATGTTCAGAACGATTTCATCAGTGGTTCGCTGAACATAAGCAACTGCAGCGCCCAGCAGAATGGGCTTGAGGTAGGTTTGGATGGCTTTCCAAGGGTGGGTGGAATGTTGAATTATTCGGTTACCCTCAGGGAAAATTACGGAACAGAAACAGTTGCGATGATAAGAAGATGGCATCATTCATTTTTGATGCATAACATATGATGATGCTTTAATGTATATTCATTTAACTGAGAATCTTCCGACACTGATATTCTTGGTAAGCATAATATCAGGCGGTACGACTTTGATATTACTATCCATATGAACATCACTAGGGAAAAGTTGAAAATCTTACTTTTAATTCAATAAATCAACTATTTTGTATAACCGTTGCATTGTTTTGATATTACTGATTAGTTTTCTAAAGATCGCTACTGGATCAGCTGGCGTATATAAGAAACATTTGCGGCAGATCTTTGAATATCAGCGGTCCCTTTACGATGTTAATGTCATTTGCGCACTGAGATTGATGCGAATGATATTGATATTCTAACTGTGTGAACTGATACTGACATCAGGAGTCTAGGGAAATTCAGAACTTTGTAAGTATTGATATTGATATTTTGCAGCACTGACTATGAATTTGAAAATTGACGCTCGTATATGTCACACTCAGAGCACATGATTTACATGTTTTTTTTTCTAAGTGTGTATAGCTGAGAGGCATTGGTGGAAAAGACTATGATTGGTGTTTACATTCCATGTTAGTGCTCAAGATGGTGGTGATGAATGAAAAACACGTGCGCGAGCAGATTTTGTACGGACGTAATGCAAATCCTGACTTGTCAATACAGGAACTTGCAACAAAATTGGATTTACCCAAATCCACTGTTCAAAGTGTGTTCAAGTCATTTTTCGGAACGTTTGACAATCGAGAGGAAACCGAGAAGTGATAAAAACATTGGACGTGCTTATCCTGTCATGGCCGAAAGGTGAAGAGGATATTGAAGGAAAACCCGAATCTCTCTGTTCGAACGGTGGCTCGTAAAATAGGAATGTCACCTGGTCAGTGCTGTTAATTTTCATATCATTCGATTGAAGTGAAAAAATACAACCATTCAATCAATTCTGTGAAAACGAATTCTCACATGACCATTATTTAAAGAGCCCCTTCCTCATTCGAAGCTCATCGTCACTGTCAATTGAGTCACTCACTATCATTTGATATACGACAGTGGAGTATGGAAGAAACCCAGCAAAATGGTCCCCTTTGATAGCCGATAGCTGCTTTTCTCATTTTCATCAACAATGTTCAATTGATATTGAGAATTTACAGCACTGCAGCTGGTTGTCCCAAAATCAAAATAGTGTTCGGGGCTGAAGTTGTATAAAGTAAAAACAGTTCCAAATCACAACGATTAACAGTATTTGACAGCAAAATCACGGGCTCGACGTTTGTACTGTGAATCATGCGTTGTTATGGACGATGAAACTTATGTCCTGGAAGATTTCAAGCAACATCCAGGGCTGGTTTTCTATTCTGCTATGGCCAAAAATGCTACAGCTGAGTATTTCAGAACGAAGAAGGCATCGAAATTTCCCAAAAAATACCTTATTTGGCAAGCAATTTGCACGTGTGGCCAAAAAGAGTAAAACTTTAGTCACTACAGGCAACAGCAAAAAGGAGATTTACCTGCAGAAGCGATTGCTACCCTTCATCAAGCCATAGAGAAAAATAAAGATTGGATTCTCTCAGACTTTTGGTACTAAAATTTTCGTCAATTTCCGCATTTTCCGGCAGATTTTTTAGGTTTTCCATAGGAAAACATGAAGCAAATTTACTCATCGCTGAGTTCCTGCACTTTTTGTGATTCTGAGTAAAATCAACTCAAATTTGGGTTGATCTCATTGGTCATGTGATAGTTTCTGATGTTGTATGCATGTAAGTGAGTAGTAAATGCAAAATAATGCTTGTCCTCTATGCAGCATGAGGGAGAATTGGGACAAAGTGAACCTTTTCTAAAGTTTTTAACAAGAGGCACTAGAGCCTCCTAATGTTTTCATTGTAGCAAGGTGCAGTTTATTACAATAGTGTTCTATACAGTTACTTCAATTTCAAACAGTACAGGTGTAATTTGAAAAAATAAAATAAAACAGATTAGTATCTGCAGTGAAATCATTTTTAACTTGAAAATATAATCCCCATACATTGTTCATGCATGGAATGATTTAAATTACGAATCAAAATTTTTGGGACCGGTACATCATACGAGTATTTTCTCAGATCGATGGTAAATTTAGGGGAAATAGGGCTAATTAGATCACTACTCGTTATCTGCCGTCGATGAAACTATTACCCACCTATTTTTCGTGATTTTTTTTTGCAAAAGAATAGCTACATTTTAAGGTTCAATTTACTTTGATGCATTTTTTAAAAATTCATAGGCAGTTTTTTTCGACGCATTATTTTCGATTGCTAAAAGCTCGCGTCATTTTGTGTAATATATCAAAAGGAATCGAATAGTGCGAGCTTTTTGCAATCTGAAATAATACGTCGGAAAAAACTGCCTTTGAGATTTTCCAAGAAGAATCAAAGTAAATTGAACCTTAAGGACTTGGCTCGGTTTTGGCCCACAGTGCGATTGGTGGTTCTTGACCAGAGATGCCAGATTTACAGACCTGTCTGTGAATTTACAGACTTTATTTTTTTCACAGACATTTTTTTCGTTACAGACATTTACAGTTAGTTTTTTCACAGATATTTACAGACTTTTGTAATCAAGGGAAAATTTTAAAATTTATTTGGGTGCACTGTTTTACATCTTTAATCAAATAACGCGTGCGATGCATTTTGCAACACGCATTAGATAATTAGAACTTTCAATGTGCTGCCAACATTTTCCATACGATTTGACGGTTTGTTTGGGTACGTCAACTCACGTTGCACTATGGGCAAAAATGGGTCCAAAATTACCCAAATTTCAATATCTCAACAACACGCTGAATTCCGGCCATGAAAAACGACTTTTCCGAAGGGAAATCGTCCGGGGAATCGATTGCACGTGGTCCCATAGACCGGAGAGCCTTGTAGGTATGTGTTTTGGATCATTTTACCCCATTTTCCCCTACTTTTTGGAGGAAATGTTTTTTAACAGCTCTATTTTTCGTAAAACATAAGCACTTTATGCATGGTTTTAGAAATTTATTTTAATTCATAAAAATTGCGATGCGATTGTTTGAATGACCCCAAGGGTTGCCTGCAATAATAAGATTTTTTTTTCGAAATTTTAAGGTTAATTGGGGTTAAATAAGTTTTAAATTACTGCTATCTGTTTTAAAAGAGTTTTCACTTTTTTTTGTCTGTATACAGCAAAACGATATAGTGGTTCTCAGAATATTGTAAAAATGGGTAGTTTTGTTCCTTATCGCAACATATTAGACCAGTATTTTTTTTTATTTTGTCGTTAGGGTAATTATTTATATATTAGGGCGGTCAAAAAAAAATTGTTTTTTCGATTTTTATCAAAAATTTATAACTTTTGAACTGTTTGGCCGATGACCGAACTCAAAATACCAAATGAAAGTTAATTAAAAGTATTTTTCAGAAAAAAATATTATGATATTAAAAAAAATGGATTTTGTATTAAAAAACATTGATTGTATTTTCACTTTTACCCCTTACTCCCATATAAAGTGTACCCCGTATTCCCCTAATATCTCATGAACTGTTGTTTAAAGACATAGTATTCTAAAAACATGCATAAAGTGCTTGTTTTACGAAAAATAGAGCTGTGAAAAAACATTTCCTCCAAAAAGTAGAGGAAAATGGGGTAAAATGGTCCAAAACACATACCTTCAAGGCTCTCCGGTCTATGAGACTACGTGCAATGGATTTCCCGGACGATTTCCTTTCGGAAAAGTTGTTTTGCATGGCCGGAATTCAGCGTGCTGTTGAGATATTGAATTTTGGGCAATTTTGGACCCATTTTTGGCCATAGTGCGTTGGCCGGTCTATAGCTTGACTGTATGTATAAGTTAAGAACGCAGTGTTCCAGAAACCATTCGAATTTCATACACAAAGATCAATCAATTCAAAACCTTTAATCAACATCAACTTGAAGCAGCATTAGTCTTCTTCGAGGAAAAGTCACAATGTTCATCATCAGCAAATTTTTTGAAATAAACTGAGCAGCATAGAAACAAACCAAACAAACTGCAACGCGCTTCATCAGCAACATGCGACCGGACGGCGATTCTATTTCACCACATAGCAATGTCACGTTTCTCCAGTGAGGCCTCTGTAACTTCTGGAAAATAAAATTAAATTCATTATTGTTTTGGACTTGGTAGAGGTAACATCTAGTAAGTTCCTTTTTTAAAACGTATCACCAAACCATGAGGTTTTAATTTATATAGTCACTGTCGCAGAAAAAGTGAATGAAATGGACAGTGTGTTTCCATCCTATTCCATATTTTTATTCGAGAGCACCCACCCCGGATGCAGTTTTAGCACAAACGAAGTGACAGACGGAGCGGCTCGAAATTTGATTTGACGAACTTACATTTGAAATTTTCGAGTGTACCTCACGGCAACACTATCTACTCATACGTACTAGCTTAAAATAGTTGATGCTATTGAGGTACCGCCTGTTAACTCCTTTTCTCTAACGAAAATTGAAAGGGAGAGCCTGTTGTCAAACAACATGGCATTATGTCGCTTTCGTTGTTATCTGCACTTTTTTTTGTATAATGAAAGACCATGGGCCAACATGATTCGGGGTGAACACATCGGGTTAACATTTGCTTACAAGTAAACGATGTAGAGCTGTCAATGACTCGCGCTTGTTGGCTGCAATTGTTGGTACAGATTTCATCAGTCCGTGCTTCTAACCAAAGCCGCAGTCATCCGCGACCGAGAAGACATCGACGATTGTTTCAAAAGAAAAATAGGTAGTTTGCTTTTATTTATTTTTTAATTTAAATTTCTATTGTTTTGTATGCTATTTCTTCTACTATTATTTATTTTATTCGAAACACTGTTCAGTAAAATTTACGTTTATTTACTGTTTTTTTATGTTTCAACTTTTGGT